CACCCAATAAATCGGGCGTGAGTGGATAACCGGGGTTATCAGTGGAGTGAGAAACCAACGCGACGAGTGTCATCCGTCGGTTGGTTGCGAAGTTCGGAACGCAAATCCGAGGTTCCCGGAGGTCCAAGGAAGTCATATCAAGTATTGTTGTGGGAGTTGGTACCTACCGTATTCTTGGCCATGTGGAATGTAATTACAGGGTGTCCATGAAGTGACTACCTATGGGCCACTTTTTTCATACTGGGTCTGGGGGAACCATCTTTTTTTATTTATGTAGGCAGTTAATCATTAGACCTCGGAATGGTGTCACATCGTTTGTTCCTACAATCTAATGTGACTCATTTACCAAACCCTTGTTTCAATTACAGGTTCAGGCATATTGAATGTAGCATTCCAAAATGTCAGCCAGGGCAAATAGCCTCCACGATCTCCACATTTTTATCCCTTCTGATTTTTTCTCTGGGGCTACTTAAAAGGCTTCTTTCTTTTTTTACAAGGACAAGCCTACAGAACAGAACGACTCGAAAGAGAATAACTCTCGTGCCATGTACCAAAAAAGTGACAGAATTCTCATGAATGGCTGCCAACAATGCAATTGCTCGGGCTCAGAAAAGTCTGGAAATCGGCGGTCGACACATTCAGCCAATTTGTCGAGTAAATTTCCAATCTGTTTCATTTTTAATTCCCAAAGCGCCCTATTATTCAACGAATACTGTGATAACTGTTGTTGTTAATAACTGTTAACTGTTAACTGTGATAACTGTTGTTAATGCAAGTTGTTGGAATATGGTCGAATGGCAAAATTTGTCTCGAATTGTTGTCTGAATTTATTTTCTATTCAAATCGATTTTTTAAAAAATTCATAAAACACCGGGGGTCATATTTTCAAAGGGCTACTAACTTTAGTAGTGATTAACGTTTAGTAGCTACTAGCTACTAAAAAATTGTATTTTCAAAGACCCACTATCTTCTGACTTGTTAGTAGCTACTAACTTAGTAGCATTTGGGCAAGGAATGGATTTGGCAACACTGCGAGCGAAATTTTCAAGCGTCAGCCTCCATTGTGGAGAATGGTATCTTTTCGAAGTAGATTTTTTCATATGTCCAATGTTTGCTAATGAGTGAATAACGGAATAAGTATGACTCATTTCAAGGTTCGGATAAATACGTCAAAAGGTATATTTTTCCTTCATAACACCTTGTGCCAGGGTCGACCAATCATTTCTTTGCAATTAGAGAATAACGGGATAATTATGAGTGTTACTAAAAGTCGAAATCGGGAAACTGGTGCGTTGAAGAGAAGGAGCTCTTTCGGTCTTTGTGCATTGCGGCCTTTTCTGTCATAGGAAATAGACATTCAAGCCAATGCAAGGAAAATGATGGCTTCGAGAAAGTTTTGCAAAGATTTCATCATCGTTTTGGCTAGAAGAGAGACATGAATCGCCACACAAGGAGCACTAACGAATGAATGAAAGGTGATGCAAAGGGAAAGGTTTCTAAGTACAGGAAAGAATTCAAGAAAACTGGTGGTGGGTCTCCACCTCAACCACCATCAGAGGATACCAACAAGGGACACTACCGAAGTGATAATTTCAGATTTTCACCAAACTTTGGTCATTGAAAAGACTCTCAAAACGAAGTCAAATGGCACCAAAACTTGCGGTTGAGATGCTGATATAGGGCGTTGATGTCGACAGCAGCGTCACCTATCTACCTGCTAAGTCGTTTTTTAGGCATAGGAAAAAATCCGTTCAGGCCTATAAATCTCTATTGCAAATATCAGTTCTTTCAAAAGATATGGTCTAACAAAGTTGGATTTTGACTTGTAAAAATTTAACTTGGTTTGGTCATATCTTTTAAAGAAATTGTCAGATACAGATGATTCTTGACAGAGATATTCTTGTGTCTATGACCTATTCGTTCCCTTGCCCAACACATACTTGTACACATTGACAGAGGGTGCAGTGACTGCATATGCGAAGGTGAAATGTGAAGGAGTACGATGGCTCTGCTTACAGAGTTCTATGTTGATAATACGTCATAACAGCACATCAACGTGAGACGTTAGTGCACTGAGAGTTTCATCATCTCTTGGTGGGAGTGATGTGAATGCAAGACGTATTCCTGTTTTTGTAGCCAATTCCTAATCGCCATCTCTTACCTTTGCTTATGCTACCACAGCACCACCTATCAACATGTAGAACCATGTGCCGGGTAAGGAAACGAATAAGTCATGGACCCTTGAACATCTCTGTAAATCATCAGCTGCATCTGACGATTCCTTAAAAACGTAAAAACGTTTTTGTTGACGAAACAAAATTCGATGTTACATGTTACCATTCAACTTTGATTGACCATATCTTTTGAAAGAACTCTCAGATGCAGCTGATATTTGGCATAGAGATTTATAGGCCTGAACGGATTTTTTCCCATGCCTAAAAAAATGACTTAGCAAGTAGATAGGTGGCGACATCTTGCAGCAAGGAAAAAAACCTCCTTGGCTCATGAACCTCTCTGTGAAGTATCGCCAGAAAATGACTTTCCCTTGAAAAGTTATAGCCAATGAAAATAGGACGGTGACTCTAATAACCCTGTCTCACTGAAAATTAAGGTACAAATTAATGGTACAAATTAATGGTACAAATATATATATTCTTGGCCTGTAATGATTTGATGGCTCAAGTTTTTCTGTATCAATCGCATGCAAGACGTCCATAACTGACAGACTGAGAATTAGTAGCCTTTTAAACAACCCTCCAACACCTACAAAAATTGTATTACGTTTAGTAGCTATTTAGTAGCTACTAACGCTTAGTATCTCTTTGAAAATACCATTTTAGTCACGACTAGAGATAGTAGAGACTTAGTAGCTACTAACTTGTTAGTAGCCCTTTGAAAATATGACCCCAGATGTGGGAAATTAATTCTCGGTCGTGCCAAAGTGGAAGGAGGAAATATCTGACACTATTCCGAGGTCGGTACGTTGTCAGTCTACAAAAGTTTAAAAAATGGTTACTTCAAGGTCGATAATAAAAAAGTCACCCATAGGTAGTCACTTTATGGACACCCTGTATATCAATATATTCCCGTTAATCTCATCTCCATATTAGTGGGTCAGAGACTTTCGAAACACCTTGTACATAGTAACGGCCGATGTTTGCATCGCTGTCTGTCTCCCGGAGGCCTGCACGGATGGATTTTTCCGAACCCGACCCGATGGGTCCTATTCTAATCATGGCCTGTACCCGTTACGATACTCGGTCGTCGACGGTCCCTATCAGCTGATTGTGTCGAACAGATCGGACCTGCCCGCAACCCGTTTAGGCCTCTAATCTTGACAACACGAGGTCTCTGCTCGATTGGCTTTCGTGGCGACTATTCCCCCTCTTAAACCCTTCTCATTGTCTCGGAGAACATCTGGAGTACTGAATTTGGACATACTTCTTACCCTCTCAACACAGAATCTCTTCAGCAAATTGGAAGCTCCATCTCCCCGGGATTGCGGAGAACACTGAATCTCGCTTTTTGAATAGGCGAATTTCATTCCAAATTTTTAATTCTCTCTCTCCCCCCACCCCCTGGATGGGGAAACGCCCTCTCCTGGGTGTTTCAGGAGGAGATAACCCGACCAAAATAAAAGTATTGACTTACAGGGTACGATAAGTGCCCTTTTTGTTGGTGGCGATGCATCATTTTGCTGAGAAAAATGAAATTAGCAGTTGTTCATTTACACTAACTTCAGATTGAATCAACAGCCCCCCTACCCCTTCCCTTTCCCCTAGGAGTGTTTCCAAAAGTAGGCAGGACACCTTGCGGATGGAAAGTTCCCAGTCTGCACTGCAATATTGATGCAACGTTGTGACAGCATTGAAGTTTAAACATCCGCGATGTTGAGTCAATGTTGAAGAACATTCATCGCCACTTTGAATCAAGTTTGCCTCAATGTTGAAATGAGACAGGTCTCAACAATGTCCTAAAATACATTGCGCATGCCCCATTTGATTACCGTGAATCATCAGCGTGATTTGAACCCCTTTAGTGCTGAAATTAGTGTTGTCCCTCCCACGTAAACTCGATGCCGAGATCAGATACCGCGCGACCCGTAGAAGATGATCTATGATTTTTTTAAATAGTAAATAGTAAAAGTCTCATGGAGTCGCATCAACCCGTGAACTTTCTTCACTCCGTTCCCAGGGCCAGAATTACTCTGGGTCTCATTGGGCTGGGTTGCCTCAACAGTCGAATGTATCCAGGAGTTCAAAATCCCCAGTGTCGTCTGTGGAAAAAAAATATCAAGAACCGTTCCAAAAGTACTGGGGACACGAGCCGGTTGCATATATGAGGTAACTCAAGTGTGATGGCGATTTTTTCGCCATCTCACTTCGGGGTCAGGAAACCTTCTTTGTTCGAATGTCTCGCGAGATGTCTCGCCCGAAATATGTTAATGTAATGATGGACCGGACAATGTCCTCGCAATACTTATATTTTCAACATCGCGTTAAAGTTGACTATGCATTGGATCATCACCATCAACATCGTCAACAATATCTTAACGATGAGTCAATATTGTGCAGACTAGGTTAAGTATACCAAACCAACTTGATTCTGAGCTCATGAACGAGGAAGGGAAAGCCACCTTTACGGATGGGATGAGCAAGAGTGAGCATTCCCCCTCAAGGTATTCATGTCTAGACAGGGAAGGTCGGAGAGACAAGCCGGACAGTGAAGAAAAAATCTCTTTACCTTCCTCAGCATGGAAATGAACGACCTTATAAATCTTTTTCTCTCTCCGATGACCTGTTTATGTAATCGTATGAATGCTGATATGCTCTGCAGCATCGACAGTGTAGACTCTCTCATTTGAGTCATCCACAATTTATTTGAGAAATTTTCTGTGATATTGTGCCAAAGGCACACTTTCAACAGCAGCTTGGTTTCAATCTGCAATGAGAGCTGACTGGGAACCCAAAGCAGAGATCTCTTGACCTCTGCTTTGGATAATGAGAAAGTGAGTTCCATGGGGTTCAAGTAGGGACTGTATGGTGGAAGGAATTAGATGGCACGAGATGGGTATCGGGGAATTATTCTTCAGTGAGCCATGATGAAGACAGCTTCATTCACTAGCCCTAACATGACACTCATTACATCGAGAAAGTGTCCAAAGATTTCTCTTGTGAGACCTCTATGCAGTTTCTTCGAATGGATTATATGTGGCCATCGTATTGAAATTGACGTCAGTATCTTTCTGCTGTAGACAGACGGGGATCTAACAATTGATCAACCTTGTGCGCATGCAAACCAAAATTTCCTTGCGTCCTGGCTTTGATGAGATTCCACTTGATGTCTCTCTCCTTTTGATAAGCCATCTTGAAGGCAGTGTGGCTTCTTAGATTTGATAATAATGCCGTTCTTCTTAGATAATAATGCCGTTTTATTCGTGCCAAACCGAAAACTTGCTGTAAAATTTTGTACGGACGGGTCAGCGAAGAAAGTGAATCCTGAATAGGGTCTGTCATTCCTTCTATGCGGTGGAAGGAAGGGGGAGATAGGGTTCACTGTCTGGTTTCTTCTCACCCTCCCCTGTCTGAACGAGAATTCCTTGAGGGGAAATGCTCACCCCCGCTCATCCCATCCGTAAAGGAAACTTTTCCTACCTCATGCATGGGCTCAGAATCAAGCTGCCCAGCAAATATAGTAACGTTGTGGGAACGTTCCCCCAGAGTCTATACAGTGTTATCGACGTTGAAGGTCAAAGGTCAACGTTGTGTGAATATTGTAGTCGTGTTATGACATTATGATATCTTTTTAAATAGCATTTTTAAATAATTTGTATGTTAGTTTCATGGAATATGCATCGCCAAATAGGGAAAAAAAAATTTTTTTCGCCAAATGACAAAGAACCTATCCAATGTTACTACCCCAGTAATACCAGATATTGGGTGAATGCTGGACCAACATTGGGCAAGATGTCTTCATGCATCTTGCCATTATTGCCAATACCGCTAAATATTGGCTCAATATTGACTTCCCCAATTTTGCCATTCCATCATCGATGAAATATTAGACTGACGCGATGATCCAATGTGCCCAATTTCCAATGAGGAGTTAATTTTGAGGAAATGCTGAAGTTCTCCTCTTGCCCACTAGATGGGTATGGGTTTTGCTTTTCGCACAGTACACAAAAGTACACTACTTCCCTCTTTCCATGGAAACATCCCTCACAAGAGTGTTTATTACCTCACCATATGTTTTTCATTGCCTCATTATAGCAATCAATAAAATCGGACACTTATTAATTCATTATCCATATATTCGAGACAGAAACATGGAGCCCAGGCAATAAATAAGCATATGAGAAACTCCATATGAGAAACCCTTGCCATATATACTCCATATGAGAAACCCTTGCATCCCAGTGCTACAACTACAGCAAAAGAATTTCTACAAACTTGATCATATACATTGGCTCAATTCTCCATACTTGAGAGGAATAATGATTTTTCCACTCTCAGCAAAGGAAAGGAGGATTTCTTTCTCCACAGAGCAGAAAGGAATAGCCGTTCCCTGTAAAGTACTTAGATTAGTACTTTCAGAACAATATTTAACCCATTGCCTTCATTATTGACCAATTATGGAATGCTACAAGGGTGGGATTGAGGGTTCAAATAAGTGACATTGCAATGTTGGCTCAACGTTCAGCCAGTGCTGAACTTCAACGTTCATCTGAGTGTTCCGATAAGCGACATTGCAATAGTGACTTATGTTAGCTGCAACGCCAACCAAACACTGTGAAGGTTCAAAATTAACGTTCATACAACGCTGATTGAATGTTAGAATGTTTGCTGGGATGTTTGCAAACCCATTGCATAAATGCTTTTTCTCTTGAGCATTACTGTCTGTCTGCAGCGGTTTTGTTAAATCATTGGAGGCATTGGAACGGTTACAAAAAAAATTTGTTATCAAATGCGAAGTTTATTAATGAGTCTCACATGACAAAACATTCGAGGCCTGCAATCAACCCAGCAAAAGATTTGATTCAGCGTTGAATCAACATTGAATGAACATTCGGAAAGTTGATACAACGTTGGTACAACGTAGCCTTGTTTATTAGGAAGTACGCGGCGTAATGATGCAAGATAAGAAATTCCAGCAAGATCCGACATTTTCCAGCATACTCTCCAACTAGCATTTCCTGTTGGATCCCGTTGGAATTTTCCTTCTGGTTAGACAGAATATTCCCACTAGAAACTTAAAGCTGGCGAAGTCCAGCTGGATTTAGTTCAGTTTCCAGACTGTCTTTTTCCCGCTGGAGAAATCCCGAACAGTCCACCTACATCCAACCACTACATCCAGCAGGAAATTTTTCCTGGGCATTTAGTCTGGAATAGGGATTAGGCTGACTCTGCATCGTCCAAAGAATGAACGCACCCGTATCGCAAGCGGATCGCGATTCTAACATATTTTTACAAATCAAGAGTGAAGCTTCATCAAGGAATCTAACGCAGGGCTCGTGGCATCAAGTGGAAAACTATGGCACGAGAATCGGCGATTCACGGTGAAGGTCCTCAGAGAATTTGGGATCGCGAAGGCGCCGCAATTGAACGCCATGATTCTCCAAGAAGTCCTCAAGATTTGCGAAATCATCGAACGGAATAAGGATGAACCCCAAGACCTTCTACATCCGATCAACGTGGCCATAATCAACATGATTTGGAAGCTGACCGCAGGTCAGAACGTTCGGGTTCGTCTGTTTCGATTGAAAGCGAGTAAAACTGTCGTTTATTGGAATATGTAAATAAAATGTTTCGACATTGAGATGTGAAGTATTGCAAGTAGGAAAGGAACAGGATATACTACGGACAATGCATCGACTTACCGTAATGCAATTAAAATCTAAGAAAACTGTAGACCTGAGCCTTTCTTTGAATCTCGTAAAGTGGAAAGCCTCCATGTAACTATAAGAGGATTTCACAAATTTCCCGGTGATGGGGTATCCCAGTGAACGAAGTCTTTTAGCACTGCACAAAAAGATTATTTGCACAGAACATGTGAAAAGTCCCTTCCTCCTCCACGACACCAGGGAAGCAGTTCGAATACGACGACAGCGAGCTGAAGGATATCCAGGACCGTTTGATCGTCCTCACGGAAGATGCCCACACCTTGGGGCCGTTCCAGATCTATCCATCGCTTCTTCAGTTCTGGTCCCCTGTCCGCAGGGCTTATGAGCGCCTTGTTAAAGGGATTAATCGAGGGCAAGGCTTCGAAAAGTTGGTGGGGTACATGCCGTTTTTGACCATAGCGGTGAGACTTTCGCGAAAATCGGTCTCTGGATCACCCGGTGAGTATCGTCTATTTTCAGGGATTTTTTTTCGTTGTAGAAAGAGGTGGAAAAGCATAAGCTGTCCTTGGAAGGAAAAGCTCCCAGCGACTACATCGATGCATATTTGCAGCAAATGAATGAGTTGGAGGAGAGAGGGGAATCTAGCCCCAATTTCACCGGTATGTTTTGGAATTCTTATCAGTCAATACGAATCAAGACTATGCCTAGAGAATGTAGTACGATGTACGAGGAAGGATTGAAAACCACCAGCAAGAAATCCCGATACGGAACGACGACATTGTGATAAATGTTGACTCATGGTGTCATCAGCACCTTTTTATTTTGCAAGGAGGATGTCATTTATCTTCGAATCGCAAGCCAATTTTCCTCTAAGGAAAAACATAGTTATTAATTCTAGAGTAGACGTGATAAACACTTTTTTTGCTTCCCACCTTGTACTTAATGAGTCGTTCTACGACTGAACCTATTCCAACAAATGGGGAGAAACTACTTCGTACTCCAAGCAGCAAAACAATGTTTGACCAACATTGGAATTCCAAATATGGGATGTGGGCAGACAGGTAGGATACCTGAATTGATCCTTGATAGGCCTGTCCCGCAGTGTTTTGTTCGATAGATGGCTTACTATGGGCGATCGTTGGAAGCCCACCTGCGGCCAACAGCTCTACAGCATAACTTGGAAAAGGCCAGGAGAAAGCTTCTATATTATTGTATGACTGTTTCATACTCTTCTGGGAACCTTGCCGCCGATTCACTCTCGGTCCTGTAGGGAGTATTCCAGGGAGTACTTATGTTGAAATAATAGGACTAAAATTGAATACCAGTGTGATTAATATTGGCTGTCTCACTAGCACCGATGTGGGATCTAAATGGACCCACGGCGATTTGAGAGCACGCTCCCCCCCCTCACAGCCAAAGATGTACCTAACGTGGTGTCCTGCCTGGGTACCAATAACGAAGAAAGTACTTTAAAAGCGGTTAACGAACTTGGTTCGCGACTGCCTCTTATTCTTTGAGACGAGCAATTTGTTCTTCTGTAGATAGACCCTGAGTCTCGCTGCCAGACTATGTCAGGGGCGGATAGGGAATGAAACACCTTGCTTTCAATCTCTCCTGTTCTTTAGTATTCCGATTAGGTCGTTGGAGAGTACGCATACTGTTTTGTGTCTGCTTGACGAGGCTCTTCAGAAGAGACTTCACATTGGAATACAGAAAACTAAATAACCCTTGAAGCATTACAAAAACTCGAGATTGCGATAATAGTTGGTATAAACAAAGTCCATCGTTTGAATTGATGACAGCTTGGACGTGTTCCTAAACTTTTCTACTATGATCCACTTTACCTAAGTGAGAAAATTTACTAGTTGATTTAAAAGGTTATGCGTAGGAGAAGCCTGAGAGGCTTTTAGACTCAGGAAGAAGCACCTAATCAAAACAGGAAAATCTACCTCTGGTTCTTGAGTTCTTTATAGGACCAATTCTACGATGTTTCTCGCATATTCCAAGCCTTCGAAGTAAAATAATGCAAATTACATTCCATCCTGCACAAACGAAGATAGTTAATTCGATAAAGGGTGGTTTTTATGGGTGTTCGCAGAGTTTCAGCTCTGGGCAAACGTATCAGACCTCTTTTTCGCCGGGAGCGAGACTACAACGCACAGCATGACTTGGTGCATCCTCTTCCTACTCCGACATCCAGACAAGCAAGAGATACTCCAGTCGGAGGTTGATCAGGTGGTGGGGAAGGATAGACTCCCGTCTCTCGACGACAGGCATCAGTAAGTATGATCCTTTCGATTTCACGAGCAGCGTCTACCAGCTTTTGGTCCACGTCTTTTCTCTCCCCGTAACAGCAAATATATCGGGCAGTTACCTCAAACTTTGCGCAATAATTGGCAAAAGCTTAGGATTTATTTGCTATTCAATTTTTATTCATGTATTCGCGCAAATGACTAAAAATCAAATAGGTTATGGGCTAGATCATGATCGGTAATGCTATGACAAGTGGAAATTAAGTCATATAAAACTCCACACATGGTAGTGAATTACCACGTTTTCTTACTAGATTGACCTTGTATTTTTCTTCGGAATTTATCCTTTTTTACGTTTTAATCCTGCTTCTATTCACTTCCGTATTTTTAATGGTATTCGCTTGGATTGTGGGGGTCATTGAATGATACTCTAACATTTTGGTCGCATTTTAATCATTCTAAATGGAAACTGGGAAGTAAGTAATGGTGGAAGCCTAATAGCTCGTACGAAGCTTGCAAACACATAATCAGCGAAAGAAACTGCAATCATTGCTTTATTTATTATTGTTTAAAAGGCATTGGCTCCGTAGATTACCAGGTATTACCAGATTCTCTAACATCTGCTCAACGCATTGTGTGACAACTGAAATGACAGGAAACATGAGCTCCAGGCAGCATAATTTCTTCGAACCCATGCAAAATAAAATCTCAGCCATTCACAAGACGGAAACTACGGGGGGGTGGGGGGGAAAAAAAACTCTGTGGACTTTATTTTTTATGCTCAGAACGCTTGCACCTAAAATCCACAACTTTATTATTATGGCAAGCCTGTATAACATTTAATAAATTTCGCAATTGACAAATCTTGCCAGAGTGGAAGAAAACAAAGATGGCTGAGAACCCTCTGAGAGCCCTTACAAAAGCCCTTATCCACCAGGTCAAGCAAACAGGTGGATATTGGGTGGATTTGGATCCAGGTCGACGTGCCCCCCCCCCCCCCGCAGAAAGCCACATATCCATTCGCGCACATACAGGGTGATTCAAAATTATGCATAAACACTTGTTTATGCATAATTTTGTTGAGTTGTAGTATCTAAAAAAGTTTCTTGCTTAAACATAAACCAAAAAACTTTTACATGCATTAGATATGTGAAAATGTGTGCACCAAAAAAGTTAGGTCAGATGTTCAAAATGCCCACCACTGGGACGCATACACTAACAGGATCATTTCTTAACAGCCCGACATACCGTGGCGCACATGTCAACTGTGATTTTACGTGATTCCTGTTGTATCGTGTCCCACAAATTCTGCACTGCTTCAGAATTACAAAGGTTACACTTTGTCTGAGGCATCCCCACCCAAAGAAATCTAGAGGGCTGATGTCTGGAGACCGTGGGGGGCGTTCATGGGGGCTCCCCCAGCGAACTACCTATCAAATTTAGTATCCAGGTAGGCACGGACGTTTATGTGTAAGTGTGGTGGGTGCACCATCCTGCTGAAAGGACACCACTGTATCCGGAAACATGATTCTTATCGCAGGAACTGCATTCCTCAACAATTCAAGATAACTTTGCCCAGAAACAGTACCACTGAATCTGTAAGGTCCGATTAAGGCACGTGGAGAGTCCCATCCAAACAGTAATCCCTGGCCTGGCCCTCCACAGTGAAAACCTAAACATTTCTCTACAGAAAGATGTTAACTTGACAGTGGTGGACATTTTGAACATCTGACCAAACTTTTTCTGTGCATCACATTTCCACATATCTGATGCGTGTAAAACTATTTTTGGTTTGTGTTTAATCGATAAACTTTTTCAGATGCAACAACTCAAAGTGTTTATGCATAATTCTGAATCACCCTGTATATTTAGAGCCAGGTGGATTATCCCCGGGTGGACATCGCTCTAACAGCAGGAAATACCGCGAATGGGTACATCCACTTGGTTCCAAGTCCACATGAGAGGTGGACGTTTTGTATGGCAGTGCAGTTTATTGTGAAAAAATTCCTGGAATCAATGCTGGAAGAAACAAGAGGCATTTAAGTGGATGGAACGATTTAATACTTTCGCTCCGAACGACGTACTAGTACGTCATCCCTTTTCTCGCAGAAGGTTCGAGTGACGTCCCGGTAAGTCCTGGACACTCATGCTGTGATATATAAGTGTAGGATTTTGCTGCATCATTGGGGTTTGGAGATATTCATGGTTTTGAGTCTGTACTTCGTTACTTTCTCGCTTGATTTGGGAAAATTGACTTTGTGCACAAAACAAAGGTGAAACGAGAGCTGTGTTAGTCGACTGTAAATGAGCAACATGGCAGATAGAGGGTCTTCTGCTCTGCGTCCTGCTGCATCACAAAATCTTCCATTTTATCACAACGAATAACGAAATATCTTCTGATCTTTGTTGAGATCTCGATGCAAAACTTCTCTTGAAAGTGGTTTCATAGAATACATGGCGTAGATGTTTAATTTATCATACTTACCACTTGATTCATCTTCAAGATCCGACCAATTTATTGGGCATTGGAAACGGAGGGATACAACAATTCATTGCAGTGCCTGTGGAGTGCCATTATGCATCATTCCATGTCTTGAGGCTTACCGTACGAAGAAAAGGTTCTGGGAATCATGGGCAAGAAATTAACATGCGTAGACTTAAAGACAAGTTTCCCATGATGAAAGTCCCATGATATTCGCTACATACTGTATACAACTATTTATTTTTTGAGAAATGTGACATGAATTTCAATTTGAGTTAATTCCTCTAAATAATTAAATTCTGAAATATGTGCGTATTCCTCAACAAACCCATCATTTTGCGAATAAAATTAATCAACAATCAAATTTTTGTCTTTGCTAATTATTTTTCTCATTATTTTTTTTCTGAACCCTATTACACCCCAGGATTCTGTGAACAGCGCAATTTAAATGCGCGCCAGAACGAAAGTGTTAAAGCATGACGTACATCCTTTGAAGGTGACCCATGCATGGGCCGCCCAGCATGTCGGTTAATAAAGCCAACATCCAACGTCTAGACAAGCACTATCTCACCCTCAGCCACAATTAATCTGCATTATACAGTATATGCACTATAATATAGAATTATAATTATACTATAATACGCAGTTACCCGAATCACCTATGAAGGAAAGGTTGTATGAAGGTGATTGTGGTGTTTTTAATTGTCACGGTCTGTAGTTTGGCACAAAAAATTTAACATGTTAATTGATCAATTAATTTTAAAGTTTTTTCCCGATGCTACTTCTTTAGTGTTCTCCCTTGGATCAGACTACGCAGTCTCTTGGATTTTAATGACGCCCTTTACATCTGAATACAAATTGAATTTCTCATACTGGTCATTAAAAATTAAACCTGAGGGAAAACTTCGGAAGCGGACCACCCGATAAATGGTACATGCGATATATCAATCGCAAGCTCTTCATTGCGTCAGTGCATATTTTTAACTGAGAAAGATAAGAAAATAATTAGTAATTTTAATGGTAAGAAGTGTTGGTTGTAGTCCAGGCAAGCATGAAGTTGGCGTGCGCGCCCAAGTTAACATGGGGGTAGCCATGTGGAACGGGATGCGAGAGCGCCGTTTTCGCTGGAACAGAAAGCCTTAAACCCCTTATTCCCGCAAAGAATGATTCAATCAGTTGGATGCTTGACACTCCCACTGTTTCATCAGTGCTTTTGAGTTTTAAAAACTCTAACTAACTAACCTCAGATAGGAGAGGATAAACACAGATCAAGAAAGCCGCATTCCTTCTATGTTTGGCTGAAAGAACGAGAAGGTCAACCTAATTTGGGGTATGATTCCCCAAAATAAGTTGCCTTTCTCACTCTTTGGCCTTTCACACCGAACTGGGGAAATCATTCAGGTCCACTAATCGTGCCAGTTCGATAGTTTCACCAGAAAAACGAAGACCAGACCAGAAGGGCTTGAGAAAACCTGCCTCGAGAACAGTGCGCATGTCCGAGAAGGCCATGGCACAGCTAGCAGACGCAATGGCCAGGGGCGATTCACATCCCTGCTCCAGAAAGCCCGCGTAGAACGTAACCATTATGTCAGCATGTTAACATTACCCACTCATACCTCATCACCCTCAGCTGAAACATATAACCCTGTATATAACTAATTAATTCAGTATTTTCATGTGATATATCTCTTGCATCATTCTTCAGGCACTCCACTTCGGAAGTCGTCCCAAACCAGAATTCTTAAGTTCTGTAGAAATTTTGTCACACAGATTGGATCCCGCGGGAAGTGAGTGTGGTCTAGTTTCATTATGATCCACTGCTCTCTCGCATGGTCTTCAGTCATCTTCATTTATTTCCACTCTGGCAAGGTTTTTCCGATCTGCGAGAATTATGGAATGTCATGCAGGCTTGCCAGTCATAAGATAAAAAGATGCGGATTTTAGATGCAAGCGCACTGAGTATAAAAAATAAAGTCCACGTACTTTTCTACCTCCCTCATATGTTGCCTTCCTAGTGCGCGAAAACAGATCAGATTCATATTATTCTACTTTGTTTACTGGGATACGAGTTGCGGAGTTGCGGAGAGTTTTCCACCATGATGCCATAGAAATCTCAACGACTTCGCTTATTCAACTCCTGAGTCATTCCACGTCAAATCACCCAATGAAGCATGGACTTTTACGGGATACCCTCTCAGAAATAGAGCTTAATAGGAAATCTTGTACCTAATTAAAGCTGGTCTGGTGAGACCGGAAAACAGTTCTCTTCTCTTATGCATCCTTTTCCTTGTGACACTCATACTAAGGAGTAAAGCAACAGGTAAATTAAAATCACACTCCTTCGTGATTCCAATATGAACCTTGAAAGAGTGTGGTTTTACTACAACACTCCCGTAGGAATCCTATAGGATTCTCATGGAATTTCTACAGGAATTTTTCGTAAGGGTATCCGAAATTACTATATCATTAATCTAGCAACAAAAAAAACCGTGCCTCAAAATAATTTTGTCTCCGAGTTCAATGTTTCCAAGGACGTATGGATGTGAAATGCCCAACTTGGAAACTATTTGCGGGATAATAATATTCAATAGTTAAAAAATCAAGTGTTTCCTCTTAAGAGAAATTCACACCAAATTTCATCAATTTCTGAAAGAGTACCCCGTAAAAATCCATGTTTCATTTGGTGATTTGACATGGAATGACCCTCCTGGAGCCCAAGACTTCGAAGCACTCTACAAAGCAGAAAGTGAAAACGAAGATCAAATGATACATTAAGCCACAGGATACATTGGTGTAAATGCATGAGTAACTATTGCCCTATCCTTGCTTAATTAGAATTATTGTTCAGCGAAAGATTTGTAGAAAGCATTCAGAGAATGCCCTAAAAAAAAAACCTGCACTTGCTAGGTGGATTTGGAATCAGGTGTTTCCGCCTGTTGGAGCGATGTCCACCTGATTAAAACCCCACCTGGGAGGAACATCCACCTGGCATAAGAAGCATGAGCGTTAATGACCAGGAGGATTTTCACTGGGTGGGACATCCACCTGGTTCCAAATCCATATCCTATCCACCTAGTCTTTCTGAGTGGTGGATGTAGGTGGACTATTTGAAAGGGGCCACACGGGGTTCTATAACATAATGTCGAAAGCCACAATGTCGTCAGATTTTATATCGACAAGCAAAACTGTCGAATGCCACACAATGTCGAATGGACAATGGTCGAATGAGCATAATGTTGATTGCTACAATACTGAAGGCGTCAAAATGTGGAAAAACGTCGAATCCTCAAGATGTCGAAATCCAGTTATTATTTTCCGTTCCTTGGGTCCTGATATAATCAAGAAGAGGAGATTACTTCTTTCTTCTCTGCTCCCTTGAGGCAGCGAATACTGCTTTGTCAACTTATCATTTGTCTGCATCAGTAAGCGTTGGCGGAGTTGATTACATCAGTTACAAGGGCACCTCCTCACAAATGCAAATTGCTGAAAGGAATGTTTCCAGGCGCAAGAGATGGAAATAATCTTGTCAGGATCTCCCGCACGAAAGCTGAAGAATCAAGGGAAAAACGCATTCATCAAATTGTTTCTTCCTACTCCGACCGCGAAGTGCATGATTACTTGCGTGCAGTGGCACATAAAGTTCAGTTTTGAATGCCGCATTTCAGAGGTTATCATATTTATAACCGCCAATGAGTTTGCCTTTCTTTCTGGAACAAGTGCAGTTTTCCAGTGTTCGGCATGACGAGTTTTTAAGACTTCATTGACAGAATAAATAAAAGTCCATTTCGACTTTTCTCTCTTTCGACATTTTGAACCAATGAGTTTGCCTTTCTTTCTGGAACAAGTGCAGTTTTCCCGTGTTCGGCATGACGAGTTTTTAAGACTTCATTGACAGAATAAATAAAAGTCCATTTCGACTTTTCTCTCTTTCGACATTTTGACTTTCAACATTTCATTCCTTCGCCATTCAGGAATTCGACATAGTTGGTAATCGACAATTGGACAGTCGACATGTGTGTTTTCGACATTTTGACGGGATACGCCACACGGGATGCGTATGAATTTTAAACAAGTAAGCATGAAAGTTAATGGAAGATGATGAACATGAACCTCGAAGCCAAGAAAACTTACATTTTAGACACCATACAGGTAGATGGAGATCATACTGGTGCTTTCTATGACCACTTCAACCACGCTATTTGAGCATCACAGCGAAAGAAAATGAGGTGATGCTTTTGTTCTCATTTCAGCATGCCGTATACGGAAGCATTCATAATGGAATCTTTGAGACATGGGAGCTTAGTTTCCTTAGGAACACCTCACGTTGCCAGCAATGACACCGAGATCAATGGTTATTTTATTCCCAAGGTAAGCACTCCAAACCACTTTTGCAGTCACATTGTAAAAGTTTTGATTTTCTACGTGGCGCGAATCAGTTTCCTCGAAAAAGATATGGGCATGAGGGATGATCCAAAAATTCGTAGCCTGGTTGTGTGGATGACAGGCGGATTTTTCCTTTTTGAAGGATGGAATGAATTCATCATACGTTGGAATGTCCCGTTTGCTCATATCTAATATGTTTTTCCCCACAAATCTCGCTGGGTCTGCAACCCAGTGAGATCTATTTCAGATGTTATCTTTTGCAGACCTTATTGGAGGTCCTCTGGCCGTTTCAAACCCAGCTGCCTTATGATTCCTGAATATGCGTTAATTTTTTTTACAAGTTACATTTGAAGGTTGTTTTAGTATGTCACAGGGAAATGATGGTGACAAAAAGGGGGGAAATGTATGAAGATGGAAGCATATAACTACGGAGGTGACAACCGCTTAGATATACCAGTCCCTTTGTAAGAAAGGAATACTAGGATAATAATAAAGTATCACCCCAGCAGCGATTTGGAATGAGAAATACCATGGTTTCACCATGCCAGATACAAGCAATTAATCCATTGTAATTGATACCTTATCACAGAGGGTAGTTGCATTAGCATTAACTCTTTATTACATTAAAAAAGAATGCTGAATTTAGCTATCAGCAACGAGGATTTCGTGTGATCCAAATGGGAATACAAATGTTTAAACCTTCTTGAGCTAAGATGGGTGGGGTAGTTTTCATCAAAACTTACATTAGGTTGTTTATGGGTACTAAATTATTGAGAAATTAAAAAAATATAATTGTCATTTGGAACTTCTTTAAAATGTCCTAAAAGGATATCTGCATTTGGAAATGAAAGTTTTTTTCCTTTGTGAGTCAAAACGCCCCCTTGACAGTGTGTGACCAAAAAATACGTTTGCCAAGTTAGTGCCAAGTGTGCAGGCTGTTATACAGAATTCTGTTATTTTATCTATTTATGTGTATTCGGCTATATTTCGCAGTTTTCATTTCGATCTGTCAGTGCTCTCCTAGAATATGTATGACCTGATGCAACCGTATTGTACCTTTTATTAAAAGGGCACAATGATTATGGGGAACATCTGGTCGTGCCACAATGACAGAAGATTCTGGTCAGACCCGGAGGAGTTCAGTCCAAAGAGAGATTCCTGGACGAGGATGGGAAAGTGAAGACCAACGTATCCAATTTTCTCCCTTTTGGTCTCGGTAAGAAGAAAGGCTTCGACGTTTCTTCCGATTTCATTTCAAAACTGATACTCTGGATCAATGGGAGACATGAATACTTTTTGTTCAGGAAGGAGGCAATGCCTCGGGGAATCTCTGGCCAAGATGGAATTGTTCCTCTTCATGGCAATCTTCATGCAAAAGTTCACTTTCTGCGTTCCTGAAGGACATCCGATCCCTCCCAGAGAGGCCAATGAGAGTTTGATCGTTCACTCTCCAAAGCCCTACAAAGTCCTTCTCAAGGAGAGACTGCATGATAGTCGGGTGTTGCATGCATAATGCCCTCCTTGACGAAATAATTTGTATTCTTCCTACATTCACTTACAGTACATTAACATTTCTACCATTCTCTCCTTACCTTCCTCACCGAATGCTTGACGTTTTCACCCTCGCTACTTATCAGGGACAGTATTGAATTACATTTTAGTCACTTCTTTTCCTCGACAGATTCCAGGAGAAAATGAAATCCATAATCTGTTGTCCATACAGCACATCCGATGATTTATTGTTTTGATTGTCGTTTTCTATATTGTTCGTCATGGTGACGGTACGGCAAGTCCAGCATTTAATCATCTTGGATAAAAATGATATGTTTGCTCTCAGTCGTGCCAAGACAATGCCTGTTGTGGTTACGGTTTTAACCTGTAGTGGTGCAAGTTTGCAGAATAAAGTTTGAAAAAATCGCCAATTGTGTTGTTTAGTTCTTCCACTTGTTAACTGGAAAGGTGGAGATGGATTAGCCTGTGATAATGTCATGATATTACTCGTTTCATCCTGCATGCATAGAGAAATCAGCATACAGAAAATGTTTCATTTCTTGAGTTCCTGAATTTCTCGGACAGAGTAACTGAATGCCGCAAACACAAGAGAATCCGTGCCAAAACATGCTTCTCTCATCAATTCTCTCCAGATTCTTATAATAAACAAAAATCATTATAAAACGATAATGAATGGAATTCCAGGAAAGGTTTGAGTCCTTTTGAGAAAGCCCAACTACTCAGAGCTAGCACCTGTTTTTTGAGCTAGATGTCAGCACTTGAAAAGAGGGAAAATGCTTGACCTTCATATACGGAAATCATTCGTCAAAAATTGAGGAGAGCATAGGAAAACTGAGACTTGGACAGAGTCCCGACTGAAGAAATGAGATTGAAGATCTCATACGTTCAGTATCACAAAAGATGGTTTAGGCATGTGACTGTCAGGTAGGGCCTAGCATGTCCTTTGCAATCTCTTACCAGCTTCAAAGCATGGGTTTGCCACCTTACAAGGAGCCAAGGATTCTCCTTGATACGTATGAAGTTGGTTCAAAAAGTTTCCCGGAATCCAATTTTTTTGTTGTCTTTAATGGTGTCACGGCACTATCTCGCCTCCCCCCCCCTTTGGGGTGATTATTCAAAAGCATAATGAATGACTGGGCTGAACACCCTCTAAAGATTTTACTATCGAAGCTGGAATACACACTAATTTAGTTGCTTCGATGTTTTCCTTAATATTATTTTCTTGAAGTCTGCCTTGCTCATAGGTATAGGTTGCACTTTGAGCTTGAAATGGCAGTCGTCTCAGGTTTAAAAGACCGTTTTAGTTTGTCAGACAGACCTGGAGAAATCGTCATCCTGACCCAAAACAATATCAGTTTATTCGGAATATCTTGTGTAAGTCTTCATTTGAGAAAGGTGGTCCAGTAGACGAGGTTGAGAACGATGAAGGAAACAGGGAAGAAGAGTCGAGAAATTTTGTCGATGAGAAGGGCCACTTCTTTTCCATCGCACATGGTCACATACTGGGGTGAGGATATGATCTGAATGCTTGTCAGCCGCTTCCGCGACGAATCTTCATCCCCGTCCTTCTACGTCAGCAGTTCCCAGCCGAGAAATACAAGTCACAGGGTGAATTTAGATCTCACCGCCCTTAGCCTTAAGGAAAAGAGGGAACCGCATGCAATCGAAGGCGTGAGAAAATTAAGCACTCGCGAAGCAGGCGACCATTCAGACCTTCCAACCATCAACTTGGCAACTCGACCCTCCTCTGCACGTGCAGACGCTCATTCTCATTTCAACATTTGTTGTGGCATTACGAAGGAATGTTTCTAGACGGAATTCTCATATGTCCATATTCGGTCCTAGAGCAACAGCTAACCAATACTTCGTGACACAGTTTCCCACTGTTTCAATGAATGTTTTTTTAGCAAGAAACCCTAAGAAAAACATGCGTTTTTTGCTAAAAATAACAACTCATACTAAGGAAAAAGGACTCACTTTAACATTGATGCTGGCTTTACCAAAACCCACATTCGAAGGAATCTCTGATTGCAATTGTTAGAAGACAAACTGCTATCCCAAATTTCACCACTCAATTTTCGCACTTGATAGTTTCTGATGATCCTTTTTATAACATCCTTCCACTCATCCAAATGGGAGTAACAATCCTTCCCAATGTTTCTTTGACAAAGCGCAAGAAAAAGTTAAATCAATATTTATCTTTAATATTTCTCTTGATGACCAATCCCGATTACTAACCTTTCTTTTCTACTTTAAATCTCGAATCATATTCGCTACTAAATATAATTTTCCGGTCATTCAAAATCAAATAAAATATCTCCCATCGCAACATGAGACAAGGAAATCCCTTGCCAAGTATCGATAGAATAGATTCCACGGAAATTCGACTCTGCCGAGATACCCTTACAACACGTCCACCTGCCAGGTGGATTTAGAACCAGGTGGTTGTCCTCTTAAGCGTATTTCCACCTTTTGGAGCGATGTCCACCTGGTTAAAAATCCACCTGGCATGAGAAATACGTGATCGAATGACCAGGTGGATTTTCACCGGGTGGGATATCGACCACCTCCTATCCACCTGGTCGTTCTGCCAAGTGGATGCAGGTGAACGTTTTGCTATGGTAGTGCCTTTAATGAAGACTTCAACGAAGGTACACTGATCATGTGTGACTAGGATGAATTGGAATTGGTCCTACCTTTCTCTCGGATCCGGAGAAGGACCGGAGGTCTTCATCTGAATATCCCTTCATGGCTTTCGTGGCGACGGGTCCCATGAAGTGATTCACGATGGCGAACTCCATGAGCGAAGCAAAGACGAACACTGAGCAAGAGGACATCCACACGTCCACTGCCTTCACGTACGACACTGGGGGGAGGGAACTCTGCGACTGCGTGTTCTGCGTCGCTGTAATCAGTGCAAATTCAATATTCTCAAATCTCAACTGATATAAATCTACAGGTACTTTCTGCCACAGTTTTTCTTATTTGAAGAAAGAATAATGAGTATGGTAACGATTGATTTTCCTTCTAATGCGTTAAATTATTGACACGCCTTCGAAAAATTGCTGCAATAAAATGCAGTAGAATTCGCTTCCATTTACCATTATGAATAAGGCGGTCAATAATAAGATTAATTTAATCGACCGATTTATCGATTAAAGTATTGATATATTATTTTTAAAATTATAAGGGGGAAAAGAGGCATTCAGGGGAAGTTTCGGGGGTCGATTAAAATTATACTAATTTCGACTAATTTTTTAAAAAAGTGATTATTACTTTCATCGATCTATTAAATTACTCAAACAGCCTTAATTATGAATGATATACCTTTACAATGATCGGTATTCTTTACTATTTGTATCGCTATTACTATCAGATTGTATTTATTTTCCATTCCTGTTAGTACATGTATATAAGTATAGCGTGGCTGGGTGCATATTATTATTATTGTTTGTCATGATGTCACACTGGCATGATAATCTTACATGAATGTAATGAATGTAGAGGAAATATAGAGGAAGAATAATAAAAGTCCTATGAAGAACATTCTGCCGAGGACTTTGGTAACAGAAATACTTATACAAACCACGAGAAAGTAACTATAAATATAATTAGGGCTGTTAATTCGATTAATTTAATCGATCGATTAATCTACTGAAGTATTACTCGCGATTTAAAAAATTAGTCAAAATTAATATAATTTTAATTTACCCCCAGATCTCCCCCTGAATGCCTATTTTTTCCATTATAATGTTATATATTAATACTTTCGGTTACAATCAATACAAATCGGTTGCAATCATTCTGTAATAGAATGATTGCAACCGATTCTGATCAATTACAATTATTTCACGAACATTCCATACAAATCAGTCACGGCTGATAAGACTTTAGTCAGAAGACTGGTTAATGCATCGTATTGGTTAGTCTCTCACACACTCGACTTGCTTGTGAATTCCGACCCGAAATTACTGGGCATTGTGAGAAAAACCAGTTCTTCCAAAGCGTCTCGTTTTTGTGTCGATGTTTCCAAAAAATGACCGAAATAAATTTTAGACTCATTCTTGACAGTCTGCAATAATATGAAATGCAATACACGATTGATAGATAAACATCTATTGATTGACGACATGGTCGTTATGAGAGAAGACTTACCAAGAGTGAGGAGAGATGTGACTCCAAGAGTGACTCGAGCCGGAATGGCCTCGGGTTTGATCCAGAAGGAGATCCAAGACATGACGACGATGAGAGCGGATGGGACGTACGTGTGGAACAAGTGATAGCCCAATCGCCTTCTCAGGTTGAACACCACGGCTATGCACGTGAAGCTTCCTGGGCATTTAACACCATGTGCTCATCGAATCATCGGCAGAGAGAGTTGAGCATGGCTCATTTTCGTAGCGAAGCTCGCTTTATCGTGCCGTCATCGTCAAACATGGAACATTTCAAAAACACATTCAACTTGATGGGCGTGGAACTATACGGGATGGGAATGAAAACGTTCGGGAGCAGAACGGAAAGTAATCGAAAGGACTAACTTGCCTCCATCAGGAGCGACTGGGAGAGCAAGATACAAAAAAACGCTAACAGAAAGCAAAAAGAGGGACATGGAACCCATTCACCCTTTTCTTATCTGCTTATTACCCCAAAGGAACATCGGCACCAGTGGCGTAACCAGGATTTTGCTGATGGGGGGCAAAACAGAACGGTGGGAGGGGGGGAAGGCTAGAATTTCCTTACTTCTCCTCGCCAGGGGGGGGTTTTCAACAGTTCGGGATTCGGGTGTGAGACCTGTTCGGAAGCTGTGGGAGTAGGACCAGAAATGAGGGAAACGACGCGGAAGTACGAGGTAGAAGCATGAATTCCAGGTCAGTTTTCACTTCTGGGAAAAAAAAAGAGTTGGCAGAATTTGGTAGCATGAGGGTCGATCTAATGGCTTTCCATCCCGATGAGGAAGATGGTCTGGCATGGTCTGCATCGTATACATCCACAAAACTTTAATCCGTTTCGATCAAGTCTGAAACTTCATCGACATAGGCAGACGAATTATTTGTTCCGACACTCGACAGGTTAACGCATGGACGATTACACTAAGGAGCGATATTTTTTAAATTAAGGCCTTAAAAGGGAGAGGAATCCGATACCCGTTGAGTACTGAAGGGTGCAGTCTTCGGTAGAATTCTTTGCGATGTCCAGCTGAGGCAGCTCGATCGGGTTCACCGCCAAAGGATCCGTCTTGTTCCAGCGAAAAACCAGGTCATGCGTCGTGTGGGACACTGCAATGAATCGGAGCCTCAGTCCATGCGACTCCATCCGCGCCGAAGGACGAATAGGAATCTCGGGAAAGACGGAATACTCACGGCTTTCGATCATCATAGAGCAGATCTGCGTGTCGTGCGGATAGGCTTCGAACTCCATGGCGCAGGAAAGGACCAATGTGAGCCTGTGTGGCAACACCATACGTGTATCAAGTAGTCAAAGTACTTCATTCGGTACCTCGCTGGATGTAAGAAAAAATGCACGAACTTGGACATGTAGAGGAGGGTTTTGTCCAAGTAGAGCCATAGATAATGGTTGGGAACGCTGACTTCGTGGAAAGTGACGCTCTTTGCGTTTCTGAAGAACACATCCGGCCTCCAAATGTTCTCCAGCCATTTCACGTCCAAGATCCGGTACTCTCCCGTCATTTCTTCGGGCAATCGAAGCCGGTGATCCCTCCAACTCTGCGCCAAGAAGATGTCCGCCACGTACGTCTGCGCAATAGACTCATTATTTTTACACAACGATTTTTGCACAACTGACGAACTCAGACGGGTGTCGAGGGGCCGACCATGGATTCTTCGTTGATGGAGTCGACGCTGAGGACGGTGACGTGGAAGAAGACGATGGTGGGCATGTCCCCCGGTTTTGGTGGTCTGTTCTTGTCGTACGACTTCATGTCCGTCGGCAAGATGTCGGCCAGGGTCAGCGTGCTGTTCGAATTGCTGAAACACCACAAAGTGCGGACATACAGTACTTCATGCATTTTGCCAACCTGCAGAAGCACCCACCAGCGTCTACTATAGGTATATTTCTTCAATGCTACAACAGCTGAAATCGTCAGACGGCCGAAATTTGGGGGTTGCACAAAATTGCACAGCCACGGAAATAAGACTTTTCTGCTACGGCCTTGATCTTAGTTGCTTCTCCACCGGCTAGGCCATCAACATATACAGAATTATTGCTATGGGTGTCTACTCTACCAACGGAGTCCTAAAAATTCTCGGAGTCTTTCTAGCAGGTTCGCCTTTGTTTTGCTTTAAGTAATCCGTTTTAATTTTCCCCCATTACTCCGTGTCCACCGACGAAACTAATTCAGCACTGTTTCTAAGTATCTGGGGTGCGATCGTTGTGATTAGACATTGCTTCGAAAGTTGTTCAATCATAACCATCCTATTCAACAATGACGGGGACCGGTCTTTCTGTCGCATTACAGCGGAGACAAAGACATTTTCCAAGAAGTCTCAGAACTGAGTTCTTGGGTCTGAACATGGAAATTTCTTACTGTTTTTTTTCTCCAATGTGAACTTCATAAAATCTCTTGAAGTGAGATATCCTCATGACCACACTCACTTATTGTGCTGAACGTCTTGAAAATGAGTCGTTTGAAAAAACAAAAAAACCACTGAAGCTGAGTGTCTGGACGATAGAAAACTAAGCTGTCGCTCGTGACTCAGACCTAGATTGGTGGACCGAAAAAAAGGGTGCGAAAGACACAGGAGGGGGGAGTAGAGAGGTTAATTACCTCATCTTTTATCATGATGAATGAAATGAATGCACGAACGATGAATGAACGGCATGAAAGCCAAGCCCCACTCTTTCATCCTCAACTGCCGGGGATCCTATAAACGCGAGAAGCTATTCGGCGAGTTCCCGTAGGATCCCCAAGAGCCTTCAAAAAACTGCGCCTGTACATTTTAAAAAACATTCAGCAAGATCCTCTCTTCAGACTTGAGGAGCGAAAAGAACCAGGAAGTAAACTCTTGGCAATCGATCACATCTACGAATAATTTATTCAGTTGGAAATTAAAGGGATTCGAGGTCGTGTACAGATTACATCCTGAGCTTGTAGCGAGTAATTCGTGCAATGAGATCCTGATAGCTACCCTATACTCAGCGTGACAGTAACTAAAGATCCTCGCGATGCTGCCATCTCGCGGCAGACGCGAAATCTCTCTTTCGTCCTGGAACAACTGGTGGGCTTGCAGTGCTAACAACAGTTTCAATAAATTCTTGAAAATGATCCTTGCTGGCTTGTGGTGTCCAGTTAGAGTGGGAAATGGCACTCGATTCTCTGTTCGACTTTTATTCTGATGGAACGCCTAAAGACACTTGAACTTTGTTACTACCAGTTCAATTAATGGAGACGCCTCTTCGCACGAGCATATCAAGGTAGCTCAAATTAATACGTTGATTTGTGCCAAATCGAGCTGTGATTAGGAATATAATCTTAATACTAAACGGGTCGCTGTATTTTTCACCTTCCTCTGAGAATGCTGTAAACCAACAGGCTTACAGACGAAATCATGTCTTTAAATGTTTCTTTTCAATCTCTCCTATTTTCGTGATAACATACTCCGTGTTATATAAATAAAGTATCTTTTCTCAGGCACTCGCTGTACAAGGTATGGCAAAAAGACCCACGACTTTTAACTTATATATCTCCGCTCACGATAGAGCCATTTTCGCGAAACTTTCCCTTTGCATACATGAGAATGTTTCCAACCGATTCTCAAAATTGCATCCGAATTTGTTGGTCTACGACGATACTATCAAGAATAATCGAAATTAAGTTAGACATTGAGAATGCCCATTCCCCTCCATATAAGAGAGGAGAGCATAATCAGAGTGGAGAGGAGGAGACACTCCCGCGCTGTCCTTCCTGATCGTTAGAACCACGGGGAATTCTGCTTCTATTTCAATTCATTCTTTGGGTGGGTCGTCTTTTGCGGATGGTTTTCTTGGGATTTGCCTTGATATAATTTTGAAAGAACGTCAGGCATGAAAAGAGTCCTCGTCGTTACCTCATCATTACACAGAGAAATACGACTCGATTATGCATTACGTCTTCTTCATTCCATAAAATATATTACGATAGGATTCGTGAGTCCCCCTGTAAAAGCCAATCAGAACTCTTTTTGCACCATGGCTTAAATTTGATGGAGTGCAAGAACCCTCTAGCCTCATCAAGACTATTATGCTCTGGCTTCCCCAACAACAAAATTCCTCAGCGAGGAGTGATATCCTGGCAAAGGTGCAGATTTTTTTTTAAAGTGGGGTTAGAGGAATCGGAAAGATGCTCACTATGTGACGACACGCCCGATGCTCCGATATTCGGACCCCAATTGCCCTGCGATCTCGACAAAGGTGTGTCCTGGAACTTGGCAGAACAGATTTCCGATCAGATCCAGTTGCTTGATCAGGTCGAACTTGGATTCATTGAGCGCCGACTCGAACTTGAATCTTTCTAATTCTTCTCCGGTGAAAGGCTTGAAAGATCTCGCGTTATATCTTTCCAGAAGTTCTGCGTAGTAATTGGCCTGAAAAATTGTCTCTGCCACGTCTCTCAGATCCATCAAAGTCTTGCAAGTCTTGAGCCCTTTTTCGCAATATTCCAGGATCTGATAGGACGCATGGTGAGTGTCCTCTTGTTTTCGTTCGTAAACCTGTCGATCGCTCAACAATATTATGGAGAATGGTCCGAAAACGGCGCTCATTTCGTCCATGGCGATCTTGAGTTTGGCGGCGGATCGTTCCGCCTCGTGATCGTCTTGGTCGTTGTACCATGGGATATAGAAGAGATGAGTTCTTGAAGGGTGAAATTGGCGACGCAGGACGCGGTGGATGTCGTGCATGGACGAGACGTTTCTGTATCGATAATCGGTGCATTGTGTGAGCTTGGTTTTGGTGTCGACGTGATGCTCCAGCTGGCCCAAGACCATCACGTATTTGTGATGGGTCTCCTCGGGGACGTCGAATTCGAGCGGGTGCATTTCGACGGGGGGCACGGCGTCCGCGCTCCGACGGACTCTCCCGACCGGCATCAGGAACATCTTCGGGTCTTTCGGGGCCCGCATGTTGTGCTCGAAGGGAAGGAGGTCCGGGGAAGATCTCGGCAGAGGCTGAACCCGAGACAGCGGTACCCCTCGAAGACGTCGAACCACGCCCTCCAGATCCACGTACGGCATGCACTCCTCTCCCCCCGATTCCTCCCCGCGAGATTTGTGCTCCAAGGAATGAGCCGAGCGTCTACGAAGCCAAGGAGGCGAAGATCGCTTCCTCCATCTGGTGGCATGTCGGAGTCTCCCCCACTTTCCCTCTGACGAGACCGACCTGGAAAGACCAGTCACATCACCTGCATTCCGGGAGCAACCTCTTCCTCCTCTCACCGCATTCATCCCCAAAAAACAAGCAGCTGGGCTGTCGGCATTTCAATCCGTCTGCAAGCCATCGATACTGCCTGTATAAGTGTTTCTATCGAGGGATTAGAAAATCTGCACCTTTTTTGTCTGCTGAGGAAAATCAGTCGTTGAGTTCCTCTTGCTAAAATTTCATGCATGTATAAACGTATTTTTAGCCTCTGCTTTTGGAACCCGGGTTTAATACGCTGAATCATCTGGCAGAGTCTACTCATGTCTAGAAAGTGGGATAGGATTTGCTTTCAGCTGTTTCAATGTGGAGGTTCTTGCACCTTCAAGCTCTCATCAAAAGCGTTCCCAAAACGCAAGACTGGGAACAAACGACGGTTCTCAAACGTTCCTCTCTGTCCTCGCCTCCCCTCTGTTTGTCCTCGCCACCCCATTGTTAGTCCTCGCCTCCCCGCCGGCTGTACCGCACTCGCTCGTTTCTCATCGCTCTTTCATATTTTGTGGAACGATATACAAATTCCGGATTTGATGCCCTTATAATTTATTGCCGGTCAGTCTGCGGCCAGGTGAAGTAATGAACTTTTTAGGCCCACCTGCGGGTACCTACTTGAAGAAAACGATCTGAACCGAAAGATTCAGATTCTTCATATTTGAATTTGATTTTTTATTTTCGAAAATGCGTCACAAAATCCTCACGTTCTTCGGCAAACTCTCTTTCTTGTCATAGCAAGCCAAACTTTCTAAGACAAGGGAATGAAATGATTGCTGTAAAAAAAAAAGTTAGTCGGGAAGTTTCTCACCTTTGCTGTTTGCCCAAACAGCAAAGGTGTGAAAGAAGCACATTTGGGATCTGTTTCTGGACTAAAATTTTCACCAGTTTTGCCCAGAAGGCAACAATGGAAAAGATTGCGTGGAGGGGCCTGCAAGGTGGCTCGATTGGACTTCACTGACGGTCCCATGTCATGCACTAAGAATAAGTGATACGATTGGGAGTCAAATGAAGACAGGACAGTGAATGAAATTACCTTTAATAGCGATCCGATGGTGGTGATTAATACATTTTTTACATAGCCCCCCTGCTAATCGATGCATTTATGCCACTGTCCCATCAAAGCCCTGATGCCTGTAGAGAAGAGCGTTTTCGCCTGCTCCTAAAGTTTTGATGACTGCCTCTTGAACTTCGTCGGGGTCATTCCATGCGAACTCAACCAATACTAATATGGCGCCCGACCAACTCAGATTTCGCAATAAAATTTTTAGCTATTGCAGCCAACCTAACAAGCCCTTTAAAAAAATCACTTCAGTCGGATCTGCGGTTAGCGAGATGTCGTTCCGGAACTTTGGGGGGAAAGGAGAAACCAAAATTCCCCCCCCCCCAACCGAAAAAAAAAACCGTCTAAATTTCCATCTCGGGAATCGTTCACCGTACGAAGGCATGCAACAGTTTGATCCAAAGCACTTTAATAGGTGAAGAATTTGCTTCATACATCCCTGAAGTTTGAATGAGATTTTGCAGCACCGAAGTTGAGTTTTTGAAATGTGAAATTTAGGCTATTTCGACCCCCAAATATCCTCATGTTGCGAGGGAAAAGACAAATCTCCCGTTACGATAAGTTGCACTCTTCTTTCAGGTGCGTCGACAAAAAAAGTTATTTGCTCCACTTTTTTCCAGCTATATGCAGAATAATTCACCTCAAAATTGGAATTTTCTCATTTTTGGTCGAATATTTTTGGATGTGGCAGAGCACTTACGGTACCCAGGGTAGTATCATTAAGATGAGATCTTGCAAACGATCATGTTTTGTTGTCTTTTTTTTTAACAAAAATATTTTTGATTTGTTGAATAATAAGGACGCAAGAATCTCGGCAGGCGGGGGATTTAGTCCGGACCTGGCCCCAACAGGGACGTAGCCAGGAATTACTTTCGGGGGGTGTCTTGTGAGGCTTTCCCTTACAGAACTTCCAAATGCAGGTATATGTATAGGATTGTACAGTACTGAATTTAGCCGTGTTGTTCAGTTCGTATCGTGTTTTGGCCATTCTTAATGAATATGGAATCATACAAGGTATATGGTTCATATACAGACCCCCATATATGGTGCTCGGTTTGCAATGTATATTACTCTATTATAAACCATACCGGAAAAAGTACTTTATTTGGAATATATTTGGAAATTGTTCAGTCCATGCTATGTCCATGGATGCACATGCAGGCACGTTGAGGCCTTCCATATGGCTTGACATCTAGCAGTTCGTTCAATAAATATAAAGTTCTCACAACATAAGCGAGGTCGCACTCATCCCGCCGTTATATGTCTCCCGATTCCCCAAATGCTAATGAATGGTTCTGCAAAAGCTTTCACCCTCAAATCGATAATTTCC